ATTTTAATTTAGCAATCTTAATTGTAATTATTTATAGTTAAACCTATTCTTAATAGTAATTATTAATAATAAATAGTAATTTTTTAATTTATTTTTAAACAATTTTATATATAAAAATATATATATAATTTTTTAAAAAAACTTTATTTAAATAGTATATACTATATAGTTAGAAATTTTTTAAAAAAATTATAAAATTTTTTTTTGAACAATTTGGCAATTCTACTTTACTTTATTAGGCTTTATAATACTTGAAAAGCTAATTCTTTTGGCATCTAAAATTACAAATATTGGCTTATTTGGTTGCTTCAAGAGTATCTATATATAATCTACTATAACCAGAATTTATCTTTATACTAATTAATCTTGCAATCAAGTTCATTAATATTTCACTAGACAGTTCTTATAGCTCATCAAAACTGCTAACTTTTCCTTTTAATTTTTCTTCTTCTCAAAGGGTATAAGACAAAGGAAACAGATTTTGAAAAAAAAAACATAAAAAAAAGTAAAAAACAACATTAATAGCATATTTATATCTATATCAAGGCTTAAAAAATTATATACTAATTGCAACTTTTAATATATTTTAGATGTAAAGTTTTATTTTATTACTTAATTCTCTTTTTTAGACATGTAGCTAAAGTTAAGTATCTTCTAAATGAAGTACTAGTTTCTTCCACATAATATAGTGCTATAAACAAAACAAACATGTAGTTATATTTTACTAAGTTTATTTAAATTAGGTTGATATAAATAATATCAATCTTTTGGGGGTAAGCTAAATTGTTTACTTTTTTGTTAAAATTTTTTGTAAGATTAGCAAAAAGCAGAAGAAAGAAAAACTACTTGGCTATTTTTAAAGAGTATTAGTTTTTTTTTACTAAAATAGCAGTAGTCTATACTGGAGCACTTGCACAGTACTAAGTTTTTCTAATAAGTAATAAACTTCTAACTTGTCAGCAAGTAAATTTTGAGACTACTAGCAAATAGCATATGAGAACTATTTCTAAATAATAGCTACCAACTTATGTCTCTTTTTTTATGTTTTATAGTATAAATATTTGTATTTTTTTCTAGTAAAAAGTTTTTTAAAAATTTTGGTACAAGTGATTATTAAAAAAAGGTCTTTTACTGATTAATAGTTGAAAAAATTATAAAATTTATTTAATTAGATAATAATAATTAATTATTAATAAAAGTTTTGTTAATTTTATAATTAATAATTATGCTTCAAACTCTTAACAAAATTTGTTTTCTAGTACTATTAAACAGATATTTAAAACTTTAATATATTATTGCTATTTCTTTATTGTAATATTTGTTAACAATTTGAATACAAATCATATAAAACTACTTTTTACTAATTAAATATATTTATTATTTTTTTGTATTCAAAATATATATTTAATAATTAAATAGACACCATGGTAATATACTAGGAATATACCATTATAGTAAAAATATCAAACTAATATTTTATGATATTCCAAACTAAAGTCTTGTATTTTACAAGCAAAATAATTAAAAAAATACTTAATATTATTGTCCGAAGGACACTACTGGGTAGGTCAATAGTACACCCGATGTCTGTGTGTTAACAAAATTCTGAAACCTGATTGGCTAGATCAGGTGTAACGTAAAAGATTTAACCGAAACTAACGTTTATTGGCTAGATCAGGCGTAATATAAAAAACAAACTGACACTTTATTAATAGTCAAATTTATATATACTATATAATATAGTATAAATTAAATTTAAATTTTATATTTGGTCCTTCGGACCTTGAATGGTTTCCATTTACCTAGTATAAATAGTTAATATTATTACTATCCCTGTAAAATTTTTGGTTTGAACAAGATTTACTATCTTTTTGCAACTATAACTCTAATCAGTGTCTTAAAAAATAAATAGAAGATAATGCTTATTGAAATTTATTAATCAATTCTCAATATGTTATTAATAGGCATACTATGATTATATACCAAGTCAAAGTAAAATATGCCCCAAATAATATATCTAAACTACAGTATAAATATATATATATATATATGTTGTTTAGTAATGTTAAATATAAAAGAGTATATAAAGTATAATAAACTGGTGAATAACAATAAGAAAGAGAATCTTTTAAAAGAAGGGTTTGTAATAAGTTTGAGAGAGAAGAGAAAAGTTAAATATGGTTAAGGGATGTGTAATGTAATTCAGCAGAAATTTAATTTGCCAGATAATTGAGGATTAAGATTTTATTGTGAATTTAATCGCATTAAGCAAAAAACAATTATTAACTGGTAATATATTTATAATGCGATATTTATAAGAAAGTAAAATATAACGAATAACTTTAAATGTGTGACTAAAAATTTTTTTAAATTGCAAGCGCGTTTTCGATTTGATTACGGAATATTCAGGAGATGATACCATGTGATGCGAACTCAATAATCTTCATTTTCACTGAAAAACACCAATCGTGTAAAGTTTGCAAAGTTAGTACATCAATAAATGCGTATTATTATGTATTTATTTATTGGTTAATGCAGGGAACTTAATGATGAGAACTCAATGCTTTTAACGGCAAAGAGTTTTATCAATAAAAAAATGGCGTATGGTACAAACTTAATTCACAGTGTCGAAACTGTGAAACAACGCATTGACAGAATTGATCAGCATAGCATTAAAATCACATATACAATGAAACAAGAATATAGCACTTATTTATTTTCCACGTTAAGTAAACATTTAAAATTTTTTTTTTCACTATGGGTGTTTAAAATTTCATTGTAATAAACTCGTACATATGTACAATTAAGTTTTATCGATAATCGCAAGATTCTCTTGAATTATCATTCGAAGGAAGGCGTTAATTGTGTAAACAGAAAACAAAGTCACAATTTTGTGTGACTTGCTTTTTTGTACCATATTAGGATTCAGGAGTATAATCATTCACCATACGTACGTTGAGCTTCTGCGATATACTAAAGCCTTAACTACAATATCTTTGCACGTGTTTCACAATTACTTCACACGACTTGTACACCTATTACAAACATTTTTTTTTTCGGTGATGCAAGAAGAAAAAAAGATCGTTCCTTCAAATAATTCAACCCCACATCGCATATAAATATTATCTAACGTGGATAGAACAAATATTTGGGTACAGAGTTGCTCTATGTCATTTTTGAAAAAAAATTTTTTTTTTTTAGTACATATTTTTTTTCGCCATTTCTAGTGCCTGAAATTATTCTATTTGTTGGCTGATTAACTGTTACACTTTAATAACAAATATTCTAATTGGTACTCATTGCCCTTATTATCTTTTAACAAATTCCGCTTCGAAAAAGAAACGAAGAAAATTTTTGCCGACGTATCAGACCATTTTTTAATTGTTTTCCTATCAGCTATACTAATTTCTTGTAATTTTTTTATCACGTAAATAAGAGGCTGTATCGCTCTATTTTGTTAAAAAAAAAGAAAAAAAATCCATACTCAATACTAGCATTCATCTTAAAATTAATTCTTGGAACTTCTAATTGGATATCGGTTAAGCGCGACAGGTTGATTTTGGTGAAATAATTATCTCCTGATTAATTGCCATAATTCGCATAATTCGATACCTTTTAATTAATAATATTTTTCCGAAGCCCGAAGTTTTAACAATGGCGTAAAGAATACTATTTGGAAGAAGTATATTAAATACTTGTCCTAAGAAAAGTTCATAGTCTTTTGTGTCACGTACACAAGACAAGGTTTGTTTATACCTTCTTATGGTAAAATCCACTAATTACCTACATTATATGATATATTTATATAAATGTTTGTACTGATGACGGTGCACAAATGGCGTCAAGATCAAAAGATAAAACAGAATTCTAGTATATATAAATGCAATTTTACTTAAAATTCCTCGCAAAGGAATTTTCTAACGACGGTTTTCCATTATTTAAACAACTCGATTTATCGTTATTCCTCCTTTTTTCGTATTATCCATATTAATTTTGGGAATATGGAGGTCAATGATCAAAATACCATATGATTTATTTTATCTCTGTGAGCATTTTAATTTGCTTTTGTTTCTTTGATGTTTTTTTGTTATATAACTTTAATTTATTTGATATTTAGTATAAAAGGATTGTTGGAATAAATTATGAAATATTGTATCGATAATTCTGAATTCCATCATAAGCAAGCCACTTGATACCGAAATGCATACACACACAAGAGATAATATGCTGCTAGTCGGATATTATCAATTGTCTCTCACGTGATTAAGTTTGAATATTCGTTTTTGGCACTACGAAGAAACGGCGGGATGGCGCTAATTCGCCCAACCCATTCAAAGGCAAAATTTCTCTGTTCGATGACGAAGACAACGGTCTCTCTATTCAAAATTGTTTAGCAATTCGTTCGACCCTTTCTTTTTTTTTTTTTTTTAACTCGCGGGGTTTTTTCCTCTTTATTCGGCAATTTCAATTTAATTCAGATAATGCAAAGAAAAAAAAATTATGAATTATGATTTTTTTGTTGTTTGATTAGAACTCACTTTTTTATGAAAATAAAGTACCACGTGCCATGTATCGCAAAATCACGTTTTTTTGCCGCATAGTTTTACAACAATTAATTGGTTAGAAAATTTAAAAAGACGTACGTACGTAAAATCAAATGATGGCATATCAATAATATCACACCGATATCTGCTTTGATGCTTGGATAAATTTAACTAAGGTGCATCATTTTTAATGCAATTCCTTTTAGCAAATCTATTAAATACATTCTTTCAACACAATTTCATTAACATTTACAAAAAGTGTTATTCGAAATGTTATCTTTAACATTTATCTTTGTCGTCTTCTACATCATCTTAACAATCCTATCTTATATAACCAACCGTCATTTTGATCACCACAACTTTGATATCTTTTTCTGTCTTTTTTTACCTACGTCATCTCAGTATCTGCATCACCTGAATCAAAAAGAGAAATTTAAGAATAACAATTGCAATTTGATGCTCCCATCATTTAACTTTGATCCGTTTAGTAAACAAATAAATTGTGGTTTTTGCATAAAAAACGATGGTGAATTATTAATTTGCAATCGCCCTCGCCAAATTATTTCTTTACATCTGTCATCGCCTTCATATAATCCAAACTCCCGTCATTCTATTCTTGAATGTGAATGTTGTTACAGTGACAAATCAAAAAATCAAAAACAAGATAATGTAGATGAACAACCTGTGACGTCGCCTTTGCTAATAATGTATTTTACTATACCTCCAATAACAAAGAGAATAGGTGATGTCAGTTGGAAAAACAATTATCATACTATATCGGATTCCAATAATAACGATAATATACTTGACCCAGTAGATTCGATTTTAAATAAGGTTAACACAAAAACTGCTCGATATACCAAATTATCCCGTTTTGACCATACTGACTCGTTCAATTCACAAAAAAATACTGGCCTACAAAAAGACAATATTATATTAGATAATTTACATACATCTACATCATCGGCGATTGAAGATCCTTTAAAAAATGATGAAATTACACTGTGTACTATCGCAAGAAATGGAATATTTAATAACTTGGATAACTTTCACGATCTTGTAACTTTTGATTTTTTTGAAAGAAATTTAAACAACTTGGCTAGATTTGGGTTTGTTGGTAGAAATTAACAAAATGACAAATCAATGTTTTGCGTCGACATATAAAATTGACATTGCTCAAAATCTTACTTATCTTATTTGTACTGTATTTCTTATTATAAGTATTTATTCAAATTTATTTGAATTTTCCAAAATAAAATAAAATAAAAAAATGCTACCTCAGACATTAAACTTTTATTTAAACCATCATGTGTGTTCAGAAAGAACGCAGCGATTATAAATATTGTCATCATTGGCATATTTTTTTTTTTTTGAGAATATCGAATAGGTTTGCAAATTAATAAAAAGATTATTTGTATATCACATGATTGTACCAATCAACAATTAACATGTGCGGGCTGATCGACATGCAGATCCCGGTAAAAAATAAAAAATTTAAAAAACTTTGAGCGAAGATATAACGCCAACTACCGACTTGAATCTGATAAAACCTTTTAGATTTGAATTCTATGGATTTCATAGAATTCAAATAAAAAAAATTTCATCGAATTTAGTTTCGCTCAAAATTAGAGACAAATAAAAACGCCTATCAAAATAAAAGCTGCGCCAAATTACTCTAACTTTGAGCGATAACTATCTGACCAAATTCGATAAATCTTTTTTATCTGAATCCTATGGATTCATAGAATTCAAATAAAAAAATTTTGATCGAATTTAGTCAAGTGGCCATCGAGGTATCTTCGCTCAAAATTAGAGAAAAATAAACGCCTATCAAAATAGAAATTTTCTCTCTAACTTTGAGCGAAGATATCTCGATAACGGTCTGTCCAAATTCGATAAAACTTTTTTCTTTCAATTCTATGCATTCATA